GAGAGAACCCACGCTGCACGGGGAGAACATGCAAACTCCACGTAGAAAGATCCTGGGTGTCCTCACTGGGATGCGAACCGGTGACCTTCTTGCTGCGAGGCAACAGTGCTACCAACTGCCCCACCTTGCAGCCTAAGATCAAAATACAGAAAAAATAAAATAAAATACAATAAAAATCAACCAATGTACAGTAGTGCAATATAATGAGGTGATAGAAGTGCAATGTGGTAGCAGCTTGTTGTGCAAATGGTTTCATAGACAATACATTGCAATTACAATCATTAAACTTACTGAAATGTTGAGGGACCGCATTTGATCACGATCTCGTTCGTGTAACTCATCAGAACTGTACATTTATTCTGAAATAAAAAGCTCCAAGGTCCGACTCTTAAACTGTTTGCAAACCATCTGTCAATTAACAGCCTCGCGACAGACATCAAGGTGTTCCCTGAGCCTTTAAATCTCTCTAATGGAGCAATAATTTCCAGAGCAACCACCCGCACACTTAATGACTCATTGAGAAAAAAAAATTCTAACAGGAGTCAGTTGGACGCATCTATCTATCAGCTACTGCTGGCGTTGCATTTCGAGGTGTCCCCGCTTCAGCCTCGAGTCACGGCAGCTGCTGCTCGATGACAGCGAGCAGGAGTGTGGTTCCGCTTCGCTTATATACAGGCATAAATTAAACAATGCTTACTTGAATGTTTGTGGAAACTAGAATTGATTGTAGTTGCTCTCCGCGTTGCCCTGAGATTTATCTCTGTCCAGCTTTGTGGCGTAATTAAGTGAATGTTTCATGATTTATTTTATCTGGTTTTGTCCCTGCGGTCTTATCTAGCAGCGAGGAATCCGGCGAATCAAAGGTTACGGCACCTCTAAGTATTCCATTTTGAAAGTTTGAAAGAGAATTTAACTGGAAACTCGATCCCCTGAAGTCATGCAAAGCGCCACTTTACAGGAGGTTGGACTGCTTAAGCGGTTACTGCACTCAGTAAGAAAGAGGCTGTGGTTTTCTGAGGCTTGTTAAATCAGCCTAGTTTTCACTCTGCCTGGGCTTTTAGTAAAATAAGTGAAAAGCAACGGTGTCTCAGTTTGCCTGGAGAGCCTCAGTGATATTGATGATGTCTTAGTCTTGACTCTTTATTGCAACCAAAGGGAGGGAGAGAAAAAAAAAAAGAGCGACCGGAGCATTTCTTTTTAACCTCCTGGGGTGATTAAATGTTAATGAAATCTGAGTATCAAATAGATGTTTAATAGAGTTTGAAATTAGAAAAATGTCAGCAGCAGGAGATGTACGGGGCATTCCTCTGTGACCCCGAATGACCTCTGCTGGATGAGATGGTAATGACAGATGAGAGTTAGAGCAGGGCGTTTATATGAAATATGTATTTATTTGACTTGTGAGAGTTTATGTCCCAGAAGGCGAGCGAGTAGACTGAGTTTAGCTCGTCTCCTGAAAAAAAAAAAAGTTTGCAAACTTTAAACATTTGAGGCAATTGAACCAATCAATAAGTCGTGCATGAGGTCCTGTGTTTTTGAGTGATTTGGCGCTGTAGGGTATTGCCATTTTTAACCGTCTTCTGATTATTCCAATAAAAATCTTGATTTTTCTTCGTCCTTCAGGAGAAAGTATCTCTGAGTCCGGAGTTGAGTCTGGACTGGGACGAGGAGATGGCCACAGCTCGGCCGCACGACTGCGTCCCTCTGCCCTCCAACCATCCCCTTTATGTGCTGTACACATCCGGGACCACTGGAACGCCAAAGGTAACGGCATCGGAGGGTGGGGGTGCGAAATGGAAATCAGTAACTGACTCACAGAGTTATAGATCTCAAGTTGGAGGATTTACTCCTCGCCGTGTTTGTCTAAACGCTGTCGGTTCGGTATGGATCTCCTGTGTGACTCATTTGATCTTTGACTCTGCAAAGCCCAATCTAAACACCATCACCATGACATAAATAAGACAGAGCATTTCCACAGCAGGAGCTGGAGCTTTTTGCAGGAGAAATTACCTGCAGGCAATTTTGAATGAAAAAAAAAAGCCCTGGCTTCTTTCAAATAGCATCATTTTGTCTTTGACCAGCAGATGATATAAAATATCCTCCTGCTGGCTACTTCCTGGGCTTAATAGTGCTGTTATTGCCAGCTTTATTCTCTGTGAATTTCTCAGTTATTGCTGTAGGGAGACCATAACTTTGAGGAGAAAAACTCTATACCTTTCATACACAAGGACACACTGTGTTACTCAAAAATGTTTAGATAGCACCATTAACTTAAAAAAACACCACATATTGGTTTGGGTTTGAGAAGCAGCCATTTGGAAACAAAATGCCATCCCCTTAAGTACGGCAGCGCTGAGCGGCCGCGCTGAAATTGATATTAAATCCCTGCTTCTGTGCTTTCGTGCCATACCTGTCACCAGTCTGATGTTTTTCTTATCTCGTCCTCCAGGGTGTTGTGCGAGACACTGCAGGTTATGCTGTGATGCTGAAATGGACCATGTCAAATATTTATGGACTCAGTCCTGGAGATGTAAGGCAATAAAGCATCCTTTTCTGAGTTAGTGCCATTCTTGTAAACAAAGAGCATGTAGTCAGCAAAGAGACAGACTGTTGTGCACTTCAGAGACGATCTGATTAGCTTTAATACATAAATTGTTGTGTTTTATTGGGGTTTGTACAACGTATGCTGTTTGATTTATAGTACCTTCAAGTGCTTTAGGTGCTATTTTAGAATTTCTGCATGCATACGATATTGGTGATGCAATTCTCTTGCTATTACGATATCAGAGTCATGCAAAGGTGAATCTGTACCTACTTCATATTCATTTGCTGCAGGTTTGGTGGGCAGCGTCAGACCTCGGCTGGGTGGTCGGCCATTCGTACATCTGCTACGCTCCTTTGCTCCACGGTAACAGCACGATTCTCTACGAGGTACGTCCCTGCCGGCATCGTTTAGCGTCTAAAACAAACTACGGCTTTGCAAACAAACGAGAAGCAGCAGAAAACATGCAATAAAGCTGTAGGACACGCGCCGGGTGTTAATGCCTGTTGGGGATCTGCCTTTGTTGGCTCCGCAAACTGAATAACGTCCATGTTTGGTTAATGACACAACTTTATGTGCGCTGGGACTCAGCTCGGGATGTGATGAACTGTTTGACCCCGTCGTCCTGCTGCAGTCTGCTCACTACACAAACTGCACTTCTCCGTTTCTGTATCTTTACTAATTCCGGCGAAGGTTTCACACACACGTGTTGTTTATATCTTCCCAGCTTGGCATTAAAGAGAATTTAGTGTTTCTAAAGCAACTGTGTTGAGGTCAGTCTGTAGCAGAGGTACACAAGCAATGTTTCAGTGTTGTTGCCATATCAACATTTATTGAAGCGCCCAATAAAATCTTAATTGTGCAGCATAATAGCACCAGTAGAAATTGGAAAACTACAAACAGCCATTATCATGTGGCAACACAATAAATTCAACCTTGTGGTCTTGTTCTCTTGATATTTTAGTATTCTGTTTAAACCGTATAAAACAGTTTTAGCAAAAATAACGGAGAAGCATACAATATATATAAATATATATATATACATTTGAAACCAGAAGTTTATACACACTGTATAAAAAGACAAAAAACTTTTTATTTCTCACTATCTGATATTAAATCAGACTAAACTTTTCCTGTTTTAGGTCAGTCAGGATTACCAACATTATTTCTATTTGCTGAACGTCAAAATAATGAGAGAGAAAATGTTTTAATACTTTCTTCAAAGTCAGAAGTTTACATGCACTAGATTACTATGCTTTTGAAACTATTTGGGAAAGCCCAGATGATGATGTCATGGCTTTGGAAGCTTTTGATAGGTCAATTCACAACATTTGAGTGAATTGGAGGCACACTTGTGGATGTATTTTAAAGCTCACCTCAAATTCACTGCTACCTTTTGTGACAACATGGGAACATCTAAAGAAACCAGCCAAGATATCAGGAGGAGAATTATGGATCTCCACAAGTCTGGTTCACTCTTGGGTACAGTTTCCAGATGCCTGAAGGTTCCGTGTTAATCTGTTCAAACAGTTACATGCAAGTATAAACACCAAGGGAATGTCCAGCCATCACAGTGCTCAGGAAGGAGACGGGTTGTGTGTCCCAGAGATTAACGTGTTTTGGTGTGAAATGTGTGTATTAACCCCAGAATAAAAGCAAAAGACCTTGTGAAGATGCTGCTGAAGCTGGTCAGAGAGTCATTATCCACAGTGAAACGAGTCCTGTACCGACATGGGCTGAAAGGCTACTCAGAGAGGAAGAAGACATTACTCCAAAAGCAACATAAAAAAGCCAGATTACAGTTTGCAAATGCACACAGGGACAAAGACCTTCATTTATGGAGACATGTCCTTTGGTCTGATGAAACTGAAAGTGCACTGTTTGGTCTTAATGACCATCGTTAGAAGAAAGGAGGAAGCTTGTAAGCCTGACAACACCATCCCAACTGTGAAGCATGGGGGTGGCAGCATCATGTTGTTTGGGTGTTTTGCTGCAGGAGGGACTGGTGCACTTCATAAAATAGATGGCATCATGAGGAGGAAACGTGGAAATACTGAAGCAACATCTCAAGACATCAGCCAGGAAGTTAAAGCTTGGGAGCAAATGGGTCTTCCAAATAGACAATGACCTGAAGCATACATGTATGTTTTCATCAGCCACTTATTGATGCTTCAGTTACTTTAGCTTTGCTTTGTGTGTCCACTGCAAAGTAACAAGTGGAGTCCAGCCTCTAAATTATGCTGATTTTCATTAGCATGTAACAGAATTTGCAAGCCTAACAAGGATGTGTGTCAGCTCTGCGTCCTACAGTGTGTTTATGTTGAAGGCCACTGGTTACATCACCGCACAGATTTTTCTCTCCCTCGTTGGAAGCGGCGCCGCCAGGCAATGAATTCATCCACCTCCCTTCGATCAGTCTTCGACTTCAGCCGCTATAGTTGTTTCACGTGGCTCCTGCTCCAACAGCCTGCTCTCTATATTCAGGCGCCAATGACAGTGCCAACCTTCTCTCTCTGATCGGTACACAGACGCAAATATTTATCCGGAGCAAAAAGAGAGAACTCAGTGCACCTGTTTGCCATTCTTATTCATCTGCGCTTGTCTACCAGAAACTCAGTGGAAATTGCAGTTGGAGGCCTTTGCCTGCGGGGTTCTTTTGTCTATATCTTTTTTATCCAGACAGACAGACAGACAGACAGACAGCGCTCCTATGGTGCAACTGTTTTTTGTTTTTTTGCTAATCCGTGGATATTGTGGCCCATCTGTTTGGAAGACATCCTTCCAGTGTGCCTCTCCATCTTAAACAGCTGCTCTTTGAATATTCAGTGCTTTTGTATTTTGTGCTCTGAACAGTGTGGAAGTGTCGCTCCGACAGTTTAGAGCTTATACAACAATAATCTCCGTATCAGTTATTTGTTTTCGAGGCAAACTGTTTACATATGTGTGATGCCTTAATCGGTAAGCTAAGCCATGGTTGTGTGATTTCAGGGTAAGCCTGTCGGGACTCCGGACCCCGGGGCGTTCTTCCGTGTCCTGTCTGAACACGGGGCCTCGTCCATGTTCACTGCACCCACTGCCATCCGGGCCATTCGCCAGCAGGACCCCAACGCTGCAATCGGGACAAAATATCCTCTGTCCAGGTACACAGCAAATACCATCAAACTGTTGATGAATTAGGGAGATTAGGTCTTTATCACATATATGAGTTACTCTAACAAAAAAATAGTCACATTTGAGTGAAGGAAAAATGGAGCAGAGCCGATGATTTTCAGGCCACTTGTTGATTTATTGTACCTTTATTGTAGCCTACAATGAAATCGAGCTGCTCTCAACAAGTGAAGTCATCTCAGAATACATTAAAGTAAATACAATTCCTCACCCTGCCCGCCGTTTGATTCTCACTACCTGATTCTCTGTCATGAGCCGTGGGATCATCCTCACCGGCTTTTGTTTATATTCAAACCCCGTACAGTCTTTCTTTTCTGTAATTCTTGTGATCTTTATTTTATTGCTGGCAGAATGGCTCCTATCAAAGCACAATGACACGGAGAGTGAGAGAGCTCGCACAACGTCCTTATCAAAGCTTCTGCATCGACTTCAAATGCTGACCGTCCGTTTGATGAGTCACAAGATCTTACGGACCCGTGCAGCCTCCTCTAATACGCATATAACATCAGTGCAGTTTATTAATAAAGCTATCACTGTCCTAAATAATTACCATCAGTACATTTGAGCTTTAGATTTCTTCATATCTGTTAAATAGTCTCATAAAAAAGGCTGCTTTTGTTAAAAATTTGATGCTTCCTGCACCTCAATATATGAAGATTTAACACATTTATGTGATTGTAATCTGAAAAACAAAGCAACACAAGCTATGAAAGCACGTCAAATAGACTGATATTAAAATAACATGTGGTCTCAGCCCTAACAACCTTTCAAAATCTCTAAAGCAAAACAAACAAGTCTTTTTATTCATCTCTCCAAATGTCTTTTTAATGCTAAAATGCACGGTGACCTTCAGTAAATATGGATTTTTATCAAACTCTCCAGCCTGTTGGACTATGATCTATGTTCCTGTCATGACGAAGAATGGATACATGTGCCAAGACTCCGAGATAATCTGTTGTTATCTGGAGCTTCCACTGAATTTACCATGAGACAGCAGCTCGGCATCAACCCTCGGCTGCAGGGAGTTTTTTTTTCAGAGTTTTATAACTATGGGAGTGACACGTGAAAGCATCTACTGGTCTGCACAGCTCGTCCAGCCTCTCATTAGTCTCCTGCCATCTGTTGATGCTGCAGCCCTTTCCCCACCTCCATTGTTCGTAGTCTGTACTCTCAACTCCACTCACTTGGGTGTTAATCAGGATGGATAGCAAACAACGGCGGCTCACTGTAACCCCCTTGAGTTAAAAAAAAAAACAACAAGAAACAAACAAGCTGCTTGAACTTGTTTTTGCGGTCCTGCTGTTCAGGTGAAGGTCGTCTCTTGCCCAAAGTTATAAACAAACTTTTCTTTTTTATGGTGTTCGTTTGTTCTAGAGCAGATTATCACATTTCTTAATTGTTTAGCGTGGAGCAGAGAACCTTGGACCTGAAGGGGTTGGGGTGTCAATTTACCACTTTCATTCTGTTCAGCAGGCTGAAAATGCCTCTTAGCACACAATCATAAAGCAATTCTGAGTGTGGATGACCTGTGGTCCCAGGGAATCATTCAGAAACTCGGGCATTGTGCGCTGAATGTGACAATCTCCCGTTGTTCTCTGCGCTGAATGTGTGACACCTTTCTGCTGTTCCTCGCACATTATTTTCCGCAGTGTTTTTCCTTCACATATTGGCGGCATCTGTCCTCTCAGGTTCGACCCTGGAACTCTCAGCCATTTAGGCGACTGCTTCTTCTGTGCGCGCTTTGTTCTTCTTAATGTGTCTTTTCCCCTTGGTGCCGGCAGGTTTGTGAAGGATTACTGCATTTCCATTTTGCCTCCGAACAAAACATGTCCCTGTGACACAGACGGCACAATAGGAGTGCGACGTTAGAACACGGTTTCGTTTTAGTGGAGGGCTGTGCGACGTCTGGTCGGGGCTTTTATCTGCTGCTTTGATTTGCACCTTCAATGTCAGCGTTGCAAAAAGGAGGTTTTATTTCAAATAAGTTGTCATTATGATAATCAAAGTGGTTGTGGATATTTTAGTGGAACTTAAAAGCTTTAATTTATTAGAAATCATTAGAATACATGAATAGCTTTCTTTCAGGGGCTCTCTTGGTTGTGGTAACCTCTGTTTGTATTAACCCTGGACATTGCACTCAATTGAGCCGACTCTCTAGATGTGATGTGGCTGCATATGAGAGATTCATCCAGGTGTAGCAGTTGTTTCAGGATCGCTTAATGCATCCATGTGTAGTCTGTTGGTCATCATTTAAACATGTGTCAATATTGATAGTTCTGCTTTTAATTAAAAGTGCGTTGATGGAAGTAGTAAAAACCTTTCAGAAAACTCTGTTTGCTTTATTGTCAAACACATCATTTCATGCTAGAGAGACCACAAATGATCATTTGACACAGCTCGCATGGCTGCAGTTTATTGATACGGAGACATTTACTCCCTCTAGAGCCCGTTCAGCTAGGATAGCCCTTATCAATGTGCTTGAACCCATGGATGCGCTAGTTGCCATGGATGCAAAAATAACACATCTACAGTCTGGCGGCAGGGCTGTCTGAAGCTGGCAGCGGTGCTCTCCATAAATGTAGCATGACAAAAGGGGCAGACGCTCTGTCAGTAGTGTTTTAGAGGCGAGAACTCGATGCTGAGGAGCTTCACTTGTGAACAGGTGACAAAGTGAGTCCACTGGATGGAGGTTTTTTTGGTGCACAGTGATGTTAGAGCAACTTGCAGGTTGAAGACCCCAGTGAATTGATTTGTAGGAAAACTGAGCAGAAACTTGGAGGGAAGAAAAGTCTGCCTGAAAAACTTGGTTGTGATGTCACAAAAAAGAAAGGAGCCAAAGTAGGTGCACTTTAACAAAAAGAAATGTGGATCCTAAGGTTGAAAATGTGCATTGGTGTTCATATGATGGACTACAGGTTTATAATTCTGAGCCTGCTGAGTGTTAAAGAGAACAAGATCAGAAGGGATTAGAAGAAGATCTGAGGAGAACCAGTGTAGAGCTGAACAGGTGCCTCGATGAGTGACCAACGTTATCTAATGTTACATGTCAGTGCTATAAAGTTTGATATAACAAAACCAGCACTGACAGTTTAATACTGGAGTATGAATCCTTGCCCGTTGTCAAAACTGAGGATCAGCTGATGTGAGTCACATCTTGCTTCATCTACCATAAATCAACCCTATGTTTCATGGTGCCACATGAGAGACAGAGACACGTGGGAGACTAATTTAGAAGTTTGCAAACATAAAAGAAGACTGGCAGTATGCAGTTCACATTTTCATCAAGCTGAATCTCTGACAGATTTGTGACCGTTGCTCCCGCCGGCAGCAGCACCACAAGCTGCTGCTGATGGTGCAACTGAAGCGGTCATGTGTATAGACGGAACCAAACCAGCTGTTAGATTTTGGATAGAACTGTGTGAGACTATCTCCGCGTCTTCGGGAACATAATCTTCCAGACTCTCCGTGTTTTGCATTACAGAGGCAGTGGAGAAGTCCCGCCTCTTCACCTTAATAAAAGTGGCCCTGGCATGAAAGCTTATTCTGAAGTTAGGAAAAATGTGTGCTCACTGTTCTGAAAGGCTGGAGTTTGTGGAACATGCACAAACACAGTAATTCACCAAGTAATTAGCAAAAATAAATCACAGCTCGTTCGTGCACCGAGGCAGACGTGACTCTCTTATGTGATCTTATGTGAGCTGTTTGTGACAAGAAAATGTTTTTAACAGCATTGCTCACTGCCTTTATGCCCTTAAAACATGTGAAATCCTGCAATTTTCAGTTGATTTCAGGAAATATTGAGAAATGTAATCTACAAGTAGCTCTTTAAAGAACATTTATTAGAACGGACAAGGATGATCTTTGGGTTTACTTTTCACATGATGCAAATGGTGTTTTTCTTGTGGTCTGCCATTAACTTTGCCTCACTGACCTCACAGAATGAACTCAAAGCATATTAGCAGTTTGTAGCCTGAAAACTTGACCTTTACCACCTGCTCCAAGGCCACACTGTACAGACTATTGTAGGCTTATCTCACATACAAGGCTAAATGAACTGTTAACGAGCTGTTTTCTCTGACTGGACAGCCTTACTGTTGAGAAAGAGTTGGCCTTTGCTATTTATTGTTAGTTCTTTTTCTTCAGTTCATAGTCCATTTGCTATCCTTAAATGCTACCTTCACCAGTTACTTACATGGATGTCAGGATGAAGTAAGCAAAGTACATTTTGGACCAGAAGTTGCTTAATGAAATGTGTTTTTATGTAGTCCTTGATTCTTGGAGAGTTATTTTTACATGGGAAAGATAGACTATCTTAAGATGTCTTTTCCTTGAAAACACAGCAAAGCTGTTTACACTAACTATAACTGGCTCAGTGCACATTCTTTCTACTTGGGCAGCAGCCAAACAATTGCCATCCCACTACTGTTTCCGAGGTCAGTGTCTGCTTAAATCTAAGCTTGTGCTTCTGTTGAACTCTTTTGAAACCCAAATACTACAGAGAATCTGAATTGTTCATAAGTAATTAGAAGTGTGTTGGTGGAAGCGTGATGGGTTTTGGCAAGATATTTATCCAGAACACGTTATTTTGAGTCAGGGAACCTTGCAGAATTCATATCATCCACTTGTAACTTGTAACTGTTCAAAATGATCGACTCCTTGACCACAGGACGGTGTTGTCTGTTGCTGCAGTGACAAAGCACCTCTAAGATGCTTCTGCTTCAAGTGCAAAGAGGTTGCACTGCTGTTGTCAACCATTTCCAGTTTGCAGTGCTTACAAAGCACCACATTGTTGGGTCTCTGTCTGATATAGTCCCACACTTTAGGTGATTCCATGTTTTAACTCAGTGCAGCCATCTTTGCACTGCCATAAAACTGATGAGTCCCAATGAAGTCTGTTGTTTAATGTTTCTCGAGAACACCTCATCCAAACAACTTCAAACTCAACACTGCACTTCCACGGCTCCCCAACAACACACCTGCCAAGCGCGAAGCAGATCGGATGAACAGTTGTCGAGAAAAGCGAAGAACAGACAAACACCCACACATACATTCAGAGACTCCTTCCTCAGTTTGTGAGACATTGAAAACAGTTTCATACTTACAAACCAACAGTTGGGGTGCAACGTTATCATTTATTTGGAGTTGTGTTTCTGGCCACCTGGCTACCGTAAGTCCAATCTTGACTGTCCTTTAGCTCTGTTTGTGGTGTTAAACTCCTGAGGGAAATATGTGCCTCTTTACCCACCAAATGCTTCACTGGTAACCATAACTGTGTGGCATTTGGTGCTGGGAAAGTAGTGTGCAGTGGGTTTTTTTTAAGAGCTTTTTTGCTAGAAACAGCCACCTGTTGCAGCTGAAAATTCTGCTTTGAGTGTGGTGAGAATAAAGTAAACTTACAGGCCACAACTGATAAGTCTTTGAGGGTCAATGACTATGAGAGGTCCCTTTTACATTGTTTCAGGGTTTTCAGGTTATCGTTTGATGTATATTTATTCTAACATATAATCTGGAGGCTCTTTGATGTGCAAACAATAGCACACAAGGGTGGAGTTACGTTCTATGTGCATCTGCAGTGCCCCTCAAGATTGCATACAACCAAGTTGTAATGAATCTGTCAACAGAACTGTATAGGAAGATAACACCTGATGCCACATTCTTGGCTTTTACCGAGAATATAATAGAAAGACACTTCAGTTTTGATTGAAGATGAAAGGTCATTTTGTCATCAGGGAGGGTTGTGAGCAATGAGTGATGACCAGAAGTCACGGTGTTGGAAAATATGGCGATGAGGCTGACGTGTACGGCTGCACTGTGGCCTGGACATATAGAAAGTAATGGTTCCCTTCACAGCCTTCCACCAGGCGAGCTGCAGTGTTTTGAATTAGATATGAGCAGCCATGTGCAGCCATCAGACAGAGATTGTGAGGGAATGATGTGGGAGAAAGCAGTGAGGCTGAAGATAGAAACTATATTGTTTGGGTTCACTAGTTGGGCAAGGAGCAGGGGTTTCATGAACTCAGAGAGGAGCAGCCAGTAGGAATCTAACGCTTGAACAAGGATGGACTCATAAGTGAGGTTCAAATCTGTGATTCAGATGCCCTGGCAAGAGTTTGTTGTCTCTGGGTACTCCATAATTTAGGGTCTCATCAGCACTCACTGTAAGGTCTTATAGAGGGCAGAATTTTTGGCAGAAAAGTAGCAGCTCGCCAAGATTGTGGGAAGACAAACATCCAACTTGAAATCCCTTTGAGATGAGTAAAAACAAAGTTTAAGAGGAAGGAAACTGGAGTTTTCTGCTTTTGTTTTTGAAACTGAGAGGCTAAGGACTGTGCTCTGGTGAGGCTGGAGGTAATCCTCAAGACAAATAAAGGTCCACCTCCACTGCTCTGTGACACTGTGACAAGGAGGCAGACCATAATAGGCAAGATGCAGAGCTCCGTTAGTCAGCAGGACTGTCTTCTTATCATTGTTAGAAGCAGTGGAGAGGAGGGCTCAGTCAAAGCGAGGAGGCGAAGTGGTTGTGGTCCAGAAGCGATTAAAAAAAAAAAGACACAAAAGTGAAATTCAAGAGAAGTTGGCAACCATAGTTTATAGTAGGATTTACAGTTTTTCTACAATTTATATGACCCAGTTTTCATTGCTCAAGTGTTTCTCTTTGTGGCAAATCATACACCACAAGCTTCACAGCTCCGAGGACCGCTTGTCTAAATGCACAAACAATCAATGAGGCATACGCTCCACACTACACCGCTGACGTTTGTATATATAAACTAAGTGTGGCACTTGGGCTGACTTGCATTGATTTTCAAGTTGTAACACTAAATCTAAAAATATGCTTTTATAAAGGCTTGAACACTCACACTTGACAAAAAAACATCATTTTGTCATTTCATAGACGTCGACTTGTCCTGAACACTCCTGTGAGGAAGCAGATGTGTCATGTTTCCCTAAAGTGACTGTCGGATGTGCTCCGTGTCCTCGCAGGTTGCAGTCCTTGTTCTTGGCGGGAGAGCGATGTGATGTGGAGACGCTGGAATGGGCCAAGAGGAGTTTCGGCGTGCCTGTTCTGGATCACTGGTGGCAGACTGGTAGGAAGCGTTTTACTTTCTGGAGACAGGAATGACAGGAAGAGATCTGAACCGTTTTACCTTGCTGATGTATTTCAAGGCAGCTGTGGGAAAGATTGTGACTTAAATCCTACCTGCAACACTGGTTAGTTTTCTTTTATCAGCATCATTATTGTTAATCATGTAGATTCAAAGAGTTCTCCAAATGGGGTGGGTGTTACATTTCAGGAACAACCTTGAGGTAAACCTGTGTTGTCTCCAAAAGTGGAGACATTTGGCAATGTGTCATACATATAACTAATAAATTAGGGTACAGGCGTTGTTTACTTTGTTGTCTACGCTAGAAACTGTTGTGCAATTAAGGAAATCTGAGTTCTCACTCTGTTCCTTCTGTGTGGTATTTTCTACACCTGAGCAACCAACCCCCCTGTGTCATGTTTACACAATCACACTCCCATGCACAGTGTACACAAACAGTCATGTGACGTACCTTGAAGCTGTGTTAGTTTGCACTAATAATATTTCTAAAACTAGACTGTTCTCCTTTTAGTTCATATTTAAAATGAACTTGTGTTCGCTGGGATGTCGCCTCAGTCAGGATTTCAACTCTGGATGATGCAGGATGGAAAGCACTGCCCTGACATTGACTGTTGATTAAATATTGACTTTAACATGTTGATTAGTTGTCCAATGTCTCTGTCACTTTTAGACATGTGGTTTTTCTCAGGACACTATTCCCACTTTATTGCTGCTATGGACAGAGCCATAACCTTCTATGGTGTATTGTTATATCGATCATCTTTATTACTTACAGACTGCGCAGACACGACAGCTACACGCAGCTATATTCATTTTATTTCTTCCTACAGTATTGATCACACAATGTGAATGCCCATATTTTAATGTTTTCAGATATCTGCACTTTACTTATACACTAACCAGACATCCACACCATACATATGTATGTATAGTATTAGTAGCTAATCTTTTTCCTCTCCCTCCCTTTTTTGACATATTCCTCGTTCAAAGATATTTTATATACATATCTACTGTTTTGTATTGCACAGCTGTAGAGTACCTAAGCTGTCTTTTTGAACACTACAGACTTGAAATTTGAACATAAACGCATATCTCTTAAAAAAATAAGTAAATAAATAAATGTTAACCATCAAGTATTCAACCAAGAGTAGAATATATGAGTAAAAGCAAATCAGGGGAGAAATTTGAAATGGTCCTGATGTAGCTGATAAAATTCATAATAGTATTGCTCTTAACTTTTTCTTAGACTGATAGTTAAACTAAACTGTTTCAAAGGCAGTAGGATTGTTCTGTCTAGGACTATATCTAACTCAGAATTTGAATTAGACTTCTTCAACAGGATATGCGTAACTCTTAAATTCTCTTTAAATGTGAAAACTATGGTGGCAAATGATGTGCATATACACAAACAAGCTGCATATACATGAATGCGTTGCATAAACAGAAACGCTGCATATCCAGTCACACAACAGAAGTGTGACAGGCTTCTAGGGTCTTTAGCTTTTCAGTCACTGTGATTATATGGGTGCTGAAGTGGTGTTTTACTGCCGTCTCCATATTCTCTGTTATTTATGTTTATCCATGGAGACGAGTAAACACATACCTTTTCATACAGCTTTTCCCTCCAATAACATTACTTATCTCGCTCACTGTTGTCTGCCTCTCAGGTGAAAAGCTCACTACTGCCCCTAGAGGCTTGGGCCACTTCTGTTGTGTGACTGGATATGCAGCGTTTCTGTTTATGCAACAAATTCATGTATATGCAGCTTGTTTGTGTATATGCACGTCATTTGCCCGCGTAGAAAACTGCTAAATAAACCCAAACAAAGGTACATTTACTGCTTCAATTATTGACATTAGTTAAAAAAAAGTACTTTAAATAATTTTAATTCAATGAAATTTGTATTAACAAAACAAGAAGTTTTTTTGTCATTGAATCCTAATTTCTAAGTAATTTTTTTAGTATGTATAATAACCCCTGGCTATGCTTTTAGTTTTGCATCATTTTAGTTTTTCATTGCTCTGAAGTTAAATACCAAGTACACCTGTCTCATCTGATTCCATACACTTTCCCTTTTTGCCCAAAGCTGCATCTGGACAGGAATGAGCAAACTGAAACTAAATGCAAGTTAATTCCTAAACATCAGTGCCTGAGCTGCTCAGTGGCTCTTTTGTCTCTTTGGTATAAATCATCACAGAACAGCCAGGCTGGCATACAGGACTCCTCTGTATGCAGTCTGTGGCCTCCATATTAAAGTCACAGGGGTTCTGTTGGTTAAAGTCAGAACTGTTTAAACATTTATCTCTCACCGTACGCTGTGAGTTAAGAGCAGCTCTAATTACATCGGTTTAGCAGGTTGAGAGGCACTTTACCCTTAAACTTTTGGAATTAAATTGTTATGAAAGCAATCCAAGGACCTCAAACGCTTTATTAGCGTTAACTGTATGTGATGTTTTAATTTAGCTTGATCTTTTCGACTCTGTCATGTCTTAACTTTATCAGCATGAGAAGACTACAAATGTGCTCTTTCCTATATTTCATTAGCTCGTTGACATTAGCTTGACCTTGAGAAGAGACATAACTCTTGAAAATCTTTATTCCTCTCCAAAAGGGCGCTGCTGTCATTAGGAAGCACATTTTTATCATACTTTCCTCTTTGATTAATCCCTTCTAAGTTTCATATCACACACTCGTGGATTGGACCCTTTCTGCTGGTGTAATTATAATTTTTAAGACGTTAGAATTTCTGAGCTTCTCTGGGAACCGATCACAACCCAAGTGGTGTGTCATAATATGCAACAGTTACGTGAACCTCAGTCAAAATTAGAATCATGAAAGCGCATGAAACAAAACAGCACTGCTCCCCTGCCCCCCAAATAAGAATGTGATAATCCCTCACTATTCTAAATGTACTGCAACTGGATGTAGGAAAATACTTTTGAACTAGTTGTTTCTTAAAAATCAATCACAAACCTCCTAATCCCAGAGTTGAGAGGGAAAATTCTGGTCACATTCCAGGGCAGCATTTAAACAAGGGGTTTGATGGGCATTGCCTGTCATTGAGTTCCTGGTTTAATTGACTCTGCACACACGTGGCAGACTGACTGGCTGAGATGTGAGGCCTAAGTTATGTGCCAAGTGAAGAGATAAAGGAAAGAAAACAGTCCTGGGTACATTGTCCATCAGTCCAGGGCTGGAAATTGAAATTGCTTTCCTACTGAAACAACTCAACTATTTGATGATGGGTCCTAACTTTCTTGCTTTAATTCTCTATTTCTAGAATCTGAAATGATAAAACCAGACTTAACTGATAATATGGATTTTTCCACTTACAGTAATTTGTGGTTAATCAGCCTCAGTGCAGAATGGCTTCCATCTGGATGCGTCTGCTCATTAAAAATTCTATTATCATAGTCAATATTTCAATGCCTTATTGCACCGCTGCACTTTTGATTAATGTCAAGCTCGTAAAGGACGAGTTATGATGGAGGGGAAACAACCCCAGCTTGAAACTGAAGCTCAATGTGGAGGTGCTTTAATCCTGCATTATCCTTAACAGCCAGCAGGAGGCGACTCCACAAGCTAATAAAAGTCATCTAATTGTACCAAAGTGTATGAGAAAGTGACCCAACTTCTCATTTGATTTGTTACCTCAGTAAACAGCCTCCTAAGCAGTTTATTGTCTAAATCATCAATTTCAAGTCTCCTTCAATACCACATGATGTTTTCTTTGATAAATTATGGTCCCATTTTAGAGAAAATAGACAATAAAGCAAATCTTGTAGGTGTTCACAGTGTCAGATTCACTTTCTCATCGAAACGTGGACACTTCTGTGCAGTTCCAGTGGTTTCATCCACTTCTTTTGCACCCAGTTTGTGGTCATGATCATTATTTAAAATGTTCATGTCCTGCAACTTAGCTTAGTGGTTACAGGGAGTTTTCTAAAATGTGCGCAGTCCCCTTGCCACATCTTCCAGTTGACCTGTTAGATATCAATAAAAATGGAATCTTGGTGTCCCAGCTTTGCCTGCATTGTTTCCCCAAGCCTACCTTTGTATATAAGGCCTTAATGAGCTTCTTGGATCAGGGGCTTTAATCCAGGCAACATGCGATCGTGTCGGGCCCCTCCAACCCCGTCCGGTTCGATTGCCTTTCTCCCCATGTGCTAGTGAACTATGATGAACGTGTCAGTCACAGCGAAACACACAATTGGATGTCTCTTTGTTTCGCAATATCCTGCCTGCGCAGATGGAGGATCGATGCTAGACAAGATGACATCTCTGTGTTAAATATGGAATCAATAGTGTTGTCGGACCGTTGGAAAGCCATCGACCTTCAACGTTTGTACAGTCGCTGCACTCGGATCTGAGCGCAGATTAGCCCACTTGGCTGAACGCTCTTCCCAGGCTCAACTGGAGTGTGAAGAGCTCAATATTGCAATATTACAGAAATGTGAGTTATCAACTTGGCCTCTTGAGTTTATTTTCGTGACCCAATAGGCCTTTCACAACACCAAATTCCATCGGGGTCTATCGTTTATTGCAGCATTTCACTTCCTTTGTAGTCTACAAGACCACTCCTTATCCACCAAAAAAAGAATTCTGAGCCTTTTGCACACCTCTACATGTAACTTACGTACCAGGTCGTTTATCTTAATTGGCTGTCAGGGAGCAGAGTATTGTGTAGTGTTTGTTTTTGTGGTGGTGCAGCCATGTTGTAAACCACAGTGGATTACATTAACCTGATGCATTGCTTGCCGGTTGTCACAACTCATTCTGTAAATTGTGCTTACCACTGTGGCTTACCACTTTGTCTGCAATTAGAGATGACCTTTCTAGTAAATACAGTCAGACAGTTTTGCTTTTATGAGATAGAGGACCAACAAAATGTGCCACTGGCCTTGGTCTTAGTGAGGAAGGACTGTCTCATTTGTGGAGGCAGTGCAGGTTCAGTCTCGTCTCTGTCGACAGATTCATACCC